ATTATATATATATATATATATATAGAGAGAGAGAGAGAGAGGTGCACCTTCAAATTTTATTATAATATAATTTTGATGTAAAATGTTCTTGAGATTATCTCAAAATCTATTTTTTATCTAATTATAAAATTTTAAATTTTAAAAATAGTTAAAATCAAATAAATTTATAAACATATGAAAATCTTGAAAATAGACTGTGTAGATAATATGTTGTAAAATGCACTATTTTTTAAACTCAACATATTTTTAATGTTCAAAGCCATACATCTGGATGTGGAGCTTACATTAAAATAACCATTCCCGATAGATTTTTGAAGTGCATCCGTTGTCTACATTATAAAGTTGCACCCCTATATAAACTTTTTCCATATACATATCCCATGATGGATCCATCCTACTTGCTATTCAAGTGAGAAGAAGACAACTTGGCCACGAACTGTTTAATGTTCTTATCCGAACTGCCCCCTTCTGCCACAGCCTCCCAAGCAAAATCTCTCCACCTGCGTGCATTCCTCCTCAGCTCCGCGCCCCTCTCACCTTCCATCACCTCCCTTATGCACCTCTCCACTTCTCCTCTCCGAACCACTTCCTTCTCGTCCACCTCGACGCGCACGCCCATCTTCCAGACGTCGGAGACTAACTTTGAGTTCGTCGGCTGGTCACTCCACTGCGGAATCGCGACCATGGGAACCCCTTGGGTTAGCCCCTCCAGTGTCGAGTTCCATCCACAATGGGTCACGAAACATCCAACAGCTCTATGCGCAAGGACATCGAGCTGTGGGCACCAGGGCACCACCAGCCCTTGCTCCGATGTGGCCTCTATGAATCCCTCTGGTAGTGAATTTCCACCTTTTTCGTTTGCAGACGGAGGCCTCACCACCCACAGGAATGGCCACTTGCACCAGCGCAAGGCGCCGGAGACCTCCTCCATTTGCTCGGCGGAAAGAACCGCCATGCTCCCAAATGAGACATACACCACAGACCCGACAGGCTTCCCGTCTAGCCATTGGAGACAATCAGTGAGCATCCCTTGTTCACCACTTATCTTTGTTGCTCTTGGATTTTTACTGCCTAAGTAGACCAAGGGGAGAGCCGGCCCGATCATCATCAGAGACCAGGATTCTGCTATCTCCTTCCTCACTTCTGCCTCCAAACTGTCAAATGAGTTCACGAGCACATAATCTGCCTGGTCTATGTTCTTGAACTGGCCCGACAACATTTCAAGGAAGAAACCATAGCTTTCAGGTTGGGCGATGAACGACGGTATATCTCGTAAGCCCAACAGTGGCATCCCCGGGATCGCGACATACCCATTGGGCTCTTTCGGTGTGACAGGAAGGTCGCGAAGGTAGCGATCGTATATGGAGCACACTGCACAAGACTGAGTGAGGAAGGAGACCCCAAGGATACCATGGTCATGGGCAACATCTAAGGCCCAAGTAAGAAACGAGTCGTAGACGAGACAAACGGGTCGCTCACCCTCTACAGTCAACCTATCTATGAGGTCGCCCACTGCCCGAGAGCCAGTACGCCTGAGATTAGGTTCATAAGTCTCGAAAGTGAAATCCGGTGGCAAACCATCATCGTGGCCATCGGAGAAGAACTCGAGGTGGGTGGTGGCAAGGGCAGAGGGGTCCGCCTTGTGAAAATCGCTTCGGTTTCGGATCGGGGCCACGATGGTGGCACAGAGGCAGTTGCTAGCAAGGCGATCAGCAAATTGGAGCAATGGGTTTATGTGGCCTTGCGATGGATAGGGAAGAAGCAGAACATGAGCACTCTTGGCCTTCCCCACCTCCATTCTCTATCCTTGTTTAGCTGGTTTGGTGGAGGTGCAGGAAAGAGGATGAGGGACCAATTTATGGACACCCTTAGTGCACGCATCTCCCTCACTCATAAAGACAAATAATGTGGCGTCATGGATTACAATATCTGGAACAACATTATTACTTTACTTTTTGCTCGTTGCTGTGACATTGAAGCAAATTCGTCCAAGTTTTATTGTCTAATTCTCTTTCTATTTTATTGGGGACCATTATAATTTGGATGGTGCTCCGCACCAAATCTTTCTCTCTCTTCATGGCAATTTGTGGCATGTTTTTCCACATAATTACCTTAAAAAGGAAAAAATCTCTATGGGATGTAAAAAAAAATCTCTATGGGGATGTGCATTTGAGCATGATTCATGTTCTTTGAGAAGCGAACTATATTATTGATCACCAAAATATATAACAATTTAGTGCCCTGATTTCTTAAATTAGTTTATGTTGTTGATATTCCCTTTTCTAGGGGCTTCATGTCTTTTTATAATATCTTTTAATTAAAAAATTATATTTAAATATAATTTTATAGTAAGGTACACCTCAAAAATCCAATAGACAAGAGTGTTCTTAAATTGAAACAACTTGAAATTGATCATCCTAACCTCTAAAAAAATAAATAAATAAATTTCAAATCTTATGAGTAGTACATATTATAACAAGTTATATAGACAATCTATCTTAAAAAATTTCAAAGTGTTTATCAATCAACTTGATCCACACTTTTTTTAAAATTTAAAATTTCATAATTAGAGTACATGGATTTTGAAGACATCACGAGGTTTTTGATACCAGAACTACAACTTCCAGCAAACTTTAGAGATGCACCTTATTTGTACAGTATAAAGTGGGCACCTTAAACATACTTTACCCATTAATTAATTAATAATATGTGCTGGGGTTGTTCACCCTGCTAATTTTTCCCTCAAAGAAAATAGGGCTGGTGGACAGGGTAGCCCAGTTGTCTTGGTCCTAAACAAGTACGGCCTGGGCCACAAACTGTGGCCCAACACTGTTGCCAGCCCAGTTTGGTCTGTCCTGGCCCTCTTTTTTCCTAGTGTTTTATTTGATTTTTTTTCATTTACTTTTGGCCAAGCCCAGCCTTAAAAACATAGGGCCGGGGCCACAAATTGTGGCCCTTGGGCCGGGTTAGCTCTAGTGCCGGCCCAACCCTCTTTTTCTTCTATTTTTCTACGATTTTTTATCATTTATTTTTGGCTCGGCCCAGTCTTAATAGGGCCAAGGCTAGGCATGGGCTGGCGCTATAGGGACAAGGGCTGGGCCAGGGCCAAGACTAGCCCCTGGCCTTCGCCTACCCCATTGCCACCCTTATGTATAAATAATTATATGATAGTATACTAGATGAACAAAATGATGGAAGATTGCTCCTTAAAATAGTGGCAGATAACTTCTTAAAATGGAGAAGAGAACATATTTGTTGTTTTACTTATTTTAAGCTCATGTCTTTTTTTGCTCTTTTATTTTTGCCAAAATACCTCATTTTTAGAAGTTCAAGTTTGTAACTAGTTCTAGCATGAACCAATAAGTGTTTTGTAACTTCTAGTTCGAAACTCATTAGCGGTTCTTTGTCTGACTAATTGGTTCCGAGTTTCAAATTCTGAACCAACAACTATATGAATAGGGCCGATTTGGATCTTAAACTTCCACATATGCAATTCGAGAAAAATATAAAAATAAGCATCCTGGTGTGGAACTTGAAGAACTGAGGGTACTTAAGAACAAAAAAAATAATTATCCATAAAATATGTGAAATTAAAGGCACTTTTTAAATATTAAAAAATAAGAGATATTAGCATAAATTAATAATAATAATAATAATAATAAAGAGAGAGAGTAAATAACCATCCTTGAGGGGCTTCAAGAAAAGGGCAAGAGAAATAAGTATCCGATAGAATCAGTGTTTTAAAAAACGCCGAGTCGAACCGGACTTGCCCGGTTCAACTCGAAAATCGTAAAAAGTAGATCGCATCGGTTAAAAAATCAGAAATCGTCCGGTTCTAGAGAGAACCGGACTATTATGTACAGTGAATCGGCGATTCACTGTACGGAATCAACGAGTCCGAACAATGAATCGGCGAATCCCGTACGGATTTTATTTTTTTTTATTTTTTTTATTTATTTTTTTTTAT